AGAATTTACAGAAATATATTAAAATATAATAAATGAAATAATAATTTTATATCACATTAAAATAAGTTCAAGCGTTTTCATAAAACTCTATTATGGATCTTAGCGATTTATTGCTTTTAATAATTAGAAACAGTTTGCAGCCGGAACTTTGTTTATTTCATAATATTTATAATAAAATATTAATTATATTATGTTAAAATAGCCATATCCTGTTAAGTTCGAATCGCCTTAAGATTACAAAAACAATTTTTTTTTTTTATTATTTACTTACACATTTACAGTTAGGTAATTGATATAAAACATGGCCGAATCTAAGAAGAAATGTCGTCAGTACAGTGTTGAATATTTAAAATTTGGTTTTCTTCCATCAAAGGCAGACAAACCATTGCCCACGTGCCTTTTATGCAACAAAGTTTTAAGCAATGACTCTATGAAACCATCAAAGATAGAAAATCATCTAAGAAGGTGTCATCCTGATAAAATAGGTAAAGATTCGAAATATTTCCAAACATTAAAGGAAAAATATGAATGTTCTCTTCAACGTCTGAAAGCAACGATGATGGCTTGCGGGCATCTTACAATATATCATTACTTATCGCAAAATCTGGAAAACCGCACACCATTGGAGAACTAACTCATAGTCACAGAGTTATTTCAGAAACAAAAATGATGTACATGACAAAAATGACTAATGTCACGAGAAAATACAGCTAGAACAATGTCTGAATTGCGTGAAAGAAGAACAAGAACAAAGACGACGTTTTTCATATGATATTATCCAATAAATGTAACACAAATTGGTTTCTAATTCATTTTCCTTATTATTCCTGGTCTAAGTGTATTTTGGTTTCGAAACGTTGATTGCAATTTACAGGGAATTAACTTTTAATAACCTTAATTGTTTTTGCTTTGGACTCTTCAATTACACATGTATACACTACTAGACAAGTTATTAATCCGAATATATTCCCTTTTATTGAAGAGATGGTAATCAACGATTTTTTACCAGTATTATAAACATAATAATTATAAACAATACTTTTCTGATAATTTACTTGTGGTGTAATGTAAACCAACGAAACCTCATATCCGAGGTTATGAGTCCGATGGTGTAGTTTATTCCTACACCAGTAGGACGAACGACAGAACCTAATATGATAATCATATTTTTATAATGATACAAATATTCGTTATGCAACAAGTAAATTGACAAGTAAGAGCAGATTTTGGCAACATGATAATCTGACATTTGTTTTATAGTGTAAAAAATCTGATGTGTCCAACACATGACTTTCCTATCTAGTTATTACAGACTTTTTCCGTTTATTGTGTACAACCTATTGCAGCATCTCTATAAATGTTTAGAGGATAAACTAAATATATACATTGTCCACATACATCTACCGCGAAACATTTTTCTATAGATATTCATTGAAAATGAAAATACTGAAAAATTTAAATTTAGCACTTTTCCTACAATTTTTCCATTACGGTCCATTTAAAAAAAATCATGTATGAACAAATATTATAGAGATCGATATCGCAAACAACTTTTATTTCAACAATTTTCATAAAAATCAGAATTTTGCACATTTTGTCAAATTTCTCGAATACGGACCATTTCAGGAAATTTTTACATAAGGCAAAAATTATAGATAATAATATTAGAAGTAACTTTTATTTGAACAATTTTCTTCTCCAAACATAAATAACAGATATATTCCATAAAATATAAAAACGGCCTCCCATAAAGTACCCCCCCAGATGTTCCGACTTTGTCCAAAATCTAATTATTTCACGTCAGGCCGAAATAAAACTTAAGTTTAAAATTTATTGATTTTTTCTTTATCCGTTTTTGAGTTTTCTTCAAATTTCGAAATTTACACATTTTCTCAAATATCTCGAATACGGTCCATTTTAGAGAAATTATCTATGGGACAAAAATTATAGAGAATTTTATTACAAACAACTTTTGTTTGAACAATTTTTATAAAAAAAAATATTTTTTTACATTTTGTCAAATTTCTCGAATACGGACCATTTTAGGAAAATTTTGTAAATAACAAAAATTATAGATCATAAAATAAGAAGTAACTTTTATTTAAAAAATTTTCTTCCCCAAACGTAAATAACAGATATATTCCATAAAATATAAAAATCACCACCTATAAAGTACCCCCCCAGATGTTCCGACTCTGCCCAAAATCTAATCAGCTCATTAGACGCTGGAATAAAGCTTAAGTTTGAAATTTGGTATTTTTCCGTGTATCGGTTCATGAGTTATGCGTTATACAGACACACACACACACACACACACACACACACACACACACACACACACACACACACACACACACACACACACACACAGACAGACACACACACACACACACACACACACACACACACACAGACATCATCGCGAAAATAGTCAAAACGGATTCAGGGGACCTCAAAACGTAAAAATCCGTCGAAAACTCGAGGTCGAAAAAAATCATGATTCCTATACTTTCCTTATATCTGTATACAGATAGGAAAGTAAAAAGGACATAATTCTATCAATATTAGATTATAAATAACGTCGTAGTTAAAATATAGTGTGCAATTCTCATAAAATGACTTGTAACACGTATATGAAGCATACAAAACTATGGTTGGTTTCGTATTATTTCACGCTCATGTATTAATAATTACTATCACAAGATCCTTGCATAATAAATGTACTCTGTCACTGATTGAGTTCGAAGTCAACCCCCTTACTCACATTCTCTTATTTCGAATATTTTTGATTTATAAAATTAATTTATTCAGCATTATTTTGTTACATGTACAATTTAAAAATGTTTAAGCCAACCCTGCTTATTTTTCAACCCATATTGCGCATGTACATCATTGTCCAGAAGCTACATATTATGAAATCAATGTTAATATGAGACAATGACATTCTAGGTGTTCTGTGAATAATAATTATTTTGCTAAAACCATAATGATAAATTTTGCATTAGTTCGTATCACCTTTATATTATTAAAAAACACAACATCAGCGACGTAATTAAAATTCAACTATTTCAAATGAATCGGTCGTTTTGTACGAAAAGTTTTCTCCAATACACCTGTTATAATATAAAATCAAAAGTATTACATCATAGCATAATTCACTTTCATCCATAAAAATATCAGACATTATCATCTTCCTACCTGCCGGTATCAAAATGCAAATTAGTCGATTTCCAACATTTAAAATTTTATTTTCTAATGGTATCTACAAACGCATTCATTAAAAACGTTTTAAAACACGTAGGAAGAATTCCAACAAGGTTGGGTAGACATTTTTATTACAACTCGAAATTTATTTCTTTGACTCCGGGTCATCCATATTTTGTTAAATATCAGTCTTTGAATACGAAAGGCAGCGATAACATTTAAATCTGAATGAATTGTTTTTGTTTCAATTATAATATAACACAAGTCATGTTTTTCCAACATTAAAATTTTTAAATTTTCATGAAAGCTTCGAAAATGGTTGGTAAATTCAATTAGAACCTTTTGTGCATTTTTTTATATTTAAAAATGCAAGGTACACAAAGAATTCGACAATGGCAATGGTGGTTTGTGCAACAACAATGGATATGAGCCATATCGCACGAAAACGAAATTTGAGCACGACGCCATAAGCGGACTCAATCGTCTGAGTGTGATACAGATAATCCATTCGAGTTGTATAACATATTTTTTCTACGACCCACTAACGAAAATCTAGAATGATTATAGAGTATTAAGATAAAATTACCAATTTTAAAATAATTGATGACTTTACTAATTTATAAAATAAACTAAAAACAAGATTTTATTTCATTAGTCTTCATTCCTAGATATGAACCCTGGACCATTCGCATGGCAACTCAGTACGCTACCCTTAGCTCCATCGACACATAATACTCATAATCAAATAGATTTAATATAATTTTATTAAAAAATTATAATTTATTTGAAAATACAGTGTTTCCAAGGATAAATAAAAAAAAGTTAGGTATTCTTCATAATTTCTTTTTCTTTAAGTAAATACGATTGAAAATACATTTTGGATTAGTAAAATTAAATTTTTTTTAAAACAATTTTATTCGAGAAATGAAGAGCTTGTAAGGAGAAGTCGAGAAGCCAAAAGAAGTTTTTTTTATTAAATTGCTTTTAAAAAAATTTACTTTTATATATTGCGGATCCACAATTGTGGTATTTTTTGCGCACCCTATGTAATAAAATCGAAGTTTCTCGATAATAGTCGTATCTATTTAAAACACAAAAAAAATTATGAATATTGACTTTTCTTTTATTTAAATTGATTGATATATAGTTTATATAAAATTTATGGCTTATTTGTAAATACTGACGATATAATATTAGAAATGCTATTTATTGATTCTAAAAAAAATAACTCATTTTAATGTATATTTAATTTTAATAATTAAAAAATATATTGACAATAATTATTAGTTTGGCAGTATTGTCACTTATTTAAAATTAAAAAAATCGGTAAAGTATTTTACCCAGAACTTCACTCGATATAGAATTTGTAAAAACAGGGATTGTCTAAGTGCTTACGTTTTATTAGAATTTTATTGATTTTTAAATTTTAATATTAACTGCTAATAAATCAGACAATAATGTCTCTTTATAGACCTTAAAAATTTTACTTTTATCATTTTTAATCGCCAATAATACTACTTCTTCCTTTTTCTTTACCATAAACTGTAAATTCATCAGTATTTGCTCATTATTTATCCCATATATCATCTTGTAATTATGATTCTATAATATCTACAACCAGTATTGAGTAATAATTGGTATTTAAGGTGCTATTTTAAAATTCACATCTCTTGCTTTTCTTTACAATTTTATACGGTAAGGAATTTGCCATCTAATCTGGAAGCGTAGTACTTAAATTTAAATAAATAAAATTGAAAAAATTAAACAACTTTATTCACAAAAAAATTACATACATCGTCGAATATCAACATAACATTTTTACTTTACATTCTTTTTTTTGTTTTCTGACTTCTCTGTTTCTCTGGCGAAAACATTGTGACTACCATATCCTGTGTGGGAGTGTACATTATTATCGTGATCAAATGGACAAATAAGAGCTTGAGCGCCTCCAGAAATTTGTTGATTTGAGTTGACACCATACTCAGCAGATTGAAGACCAGAACTTAAACCTGATGTTGAGAAATCTGATGATGAGAAGCCTGAGTTTCCAGAAGAAACAAAATCACCACCAGATTGTACTCCTTGTCCTGCAGATGAGAAACCTTCTTGACTGGATACTACACTAGTTTGTAGTCCACCGGAAGAAAGTCCAGAATTTCCTGATGAATAGAAGCCTTCTTGACCAGATACTACACCAGATTGTAGTCCACCAGTTTGTACTTCAGTAGTAAATCCTTGTTGTCCACCATAAACATTACTAGATTCGAGTCCACCAGTTGCTAAACCAGAGGAAGAGAAACCTTCTTGACCAAAAGATTGTCCTGAAGAAACTAGCCCTCCTGATGAAAATCCTTGTTCATGGGCAGATACTGAGGACACTGCAGGTCCTACTACTTCTTGAACATGGTGTTGAACGTGTTGTACCTGAACTGGAACTTGTTGAGTATAATGATATTGCTGAACTTGGACTGGAGCTACTACTTGTTGTTGTTGTTGTTGATGATGAATGTGATGTTTAACGTTGACAATTTCTGGTACTTTGACAACTACGGGTTCTGGTACAGTTACAGATACCTTTTTGTGGACAGCGACAGGGTAAGGTTGGGGAACGGGTACCTTTACAACCTCTGGTACTTTAACATAAACAGGTTTTTCTACAGTTACTGGTACAGTCCTAGTAATAGTAACTGGGTATGGTTTCTCTACAGCATATGGTACTTTAACTCTAACTTGATAAGGTACTAAATGTGGCACATGTACTGGATATGGTTTCTCAACTGGAAATGGAACATTTACTCTTACTTTTACTGGAACTGGCTTATTAACATGTACTGGGTAAGGCTGTGGGACTTGAACAGTTTTAGTAACTTGTACTGGGTAGGGTTGGGGTACGGCTACTGGTACTTTGTTAATCACATTGTGGATGGTGTGTCTGGATACTTCTTCACTGGATACTACTTTTCCTGTAACTGCTCCAGTTGTGTAAGTTTGACCAAGACCATATGATTGTCCTGCACCGTAAGATTGACCAAGGCCGTATGATTGGCCGGAGCCGTACGATTGTCCTGCACCGTAAGATTGACCAAGGCCGTATGCTTGTCCAGAGCCGTACGATTGACCAAGGCCGTATGATTGTCCAGATCCGTATGATTGACCAGCACCAAAAGATTGTCCAGAACCATACGATTGACCAGATCCATAAGATTCAAGTCCAGCTCCTACAGATTGAATACCGCTACCGTATGAGTTTCCACTACCGTAAGATTGGACGCCGCTACCATATGATTGAAGACCACTTCCATAAGATTGGAGACCGCTACCATAAGAAAGGCCTCCATAGGACTGGATGCCACCGTTCAAAGTTTGTGGTACTGAATTGTAGGATACTGAGTAAGATTTTTGGGGCAATGAATTGTAAGAAGAAGTCGAATAGTAGGTTTTTGGAAGAGATTTATAGTAGTAGTAAGAAACTTGAGGTCCTGAATTGTAAGAGTAAGTTTGAGGAAGGCCGCTGTTATGCGATGATGAAAAATAACCATGGTGACGTTTTGATCGAGGTGGCGCTGGTGTAGTTGGTGAGGATGATGTTGTTGGTGTACTTGGTGGAGTTGGTTGAACCTGAGCTGGTGGGGAAACTGCAGCTGCCCATCCTAGGAAGGCCAGAACCTGAAAGAAAAATATGAATTTATTTTTTTTCAATATATTATTTGGATTTGGTTCCGACGGCTCAACCGACACTGTATAAACGTACAATATAAAATAATTGAGCTACCCATTACATATTGTAATATTAACGACACATGTTTGCCCTTAGAATAAAGTTAAATTCCTACAATAATTAATTTTAAGTTATGATTTATCTCTCTATTAGTGATTTATTTAAGCTCGTACTAGATCATTATTGATGTTTTAACTGTTACATAAATGTTGATTTATATCTGACAGAATGTTGTTTATGGGCTAATAATTGTTCTTTTTAGTTAAATTAGTCAATTTAAAAATCAGTTTAAAAAAAATGTATTTATTAGTTTTAAAACATTTTTGACGTGCACCTTCTTTATACCTATATGAAAGTAACTTTTTAAATCGAGTTATCAAAAAAAATAGACTTAAATAGGTCCGTAACAATAAAATTCACTTCTGACAGTATTGAGAAAGGCAAAGCAATTCCTCAGGGACTTGTGTTGGGACTAATATTGTTCATTTTATGTGTTAATATTATAACGGAAATAATTGATATTCACAAAGAAACATGGATTATACCAGGTACCAAAAAAACAAATCAAATAAACCATTTTCTCATTGAGGAACGGAAAGCAAACTTAGTAAAAAATGTTAGATCATACAGAGGGGCAGGTGAAAACTCCGATCCAGTCTAGTTATTGCTAACATAATTCTAACAGAACGAAAAAAGGTGAAACAAAAAAACCATAGAAATAAAAACACAAAATATAACATGGAAGAATTACAAGTAAACGAGGTATCAAGGAGATATAAAGCAGACATAGAAAGAAGTCTAGACAATACACCAGTTTTAAACATGACCCAGCATAGTAGAAAAGAAATGGAATAACATATAGAATGCCATAAAAACATCAACTGAGAAAAATATTAATAAGAAAAAACGTAGAATAGAAAGGAATGGTTAGATAACAAATGTGATAAAGAAATTAAAAAACAAACTGAGAGAAAAATACCTACAAACATACAGACGGAAAAAAAGGCGTCACCATGAAAAAAAGTCGCAGAAATATAAGAAAATTACAAAAAAAAAATGAAACTAAACACTTCTATAAAGATGTAAAAGGTGTACAAAGAAACACTTGCCCAAAAATATTTTTATATCAAGAATAAGGAGGGAAATTGAATAGGAGGAAAAAGCGAGAAAATGCAAAGATGGAAACAATACTTCCAAAAACTACTGAACGATGAACCTGAACGGCAGAAAGTAGAAGAAGAAGAAGAAGAAGCAGCAGAAGATGAAGAAGAAGCAAATGAAAGCCCTATGTACACCGCTGAGGAACCCACAGAAGAAGAGATAATAAAAATTATTTCAAATATGAAGAATACTAAAAGCCCCTGATCAAACAAAATTAGCGCAGATAACCTAAAATATAGAGGACAACAAAAACACAAATAATACAACTAATTAAAGAAATATGGAAAGCGGAAAAAATGTCACTAAATTGGAGGAAAGCAGTAATACTGCCAATATATATGCAGGCTGTGGAAACTATCGAGGTATAGCTTTGCTGGACGTTACATGTAAGGTACTAGCCACGTTAATAAAAAGAAGAATAGAAGTAGAATGAGAAAAAATTATCGAAGAATACCAATGTGGCTTTAGAAAAGGCAGGTCAACGAATGACAAAATCTTTATTTTAAAACAGGTACTCACATGTTGCTACGAATACGAAATACCGACACATATTATGTTTATTGATTTTAAAAGCACGTATGATACAGTAAATCGACGAAAATTGGTAAATACTTTGAAAGAACTAAAAATACCTCTTAAGAGTAGGAGGTGAGGAAACCGAAGAATTTGAAGTCCAAAACAAGCTTAGATAGGGAGACCCATTATCCACCCTTCTATTCAACTTAACCCTTGAAATAGTCATTTGAAACAGTGAAATAAACAGATATGGAACCCTGATTAACAGATCCCACCAAGCATTAGCATACGCAGATGATGTTGTACCGTTAGCGAGAAACCAAGAAGAACTTAAAACATAACAGAACAGTTATTAGACGCGGTAAGAACAATGGGGCTAAAAATAAATGAAAAAAAGAGTCAGTACATGCAACTGAAAAACAAGTATTTAAGAAAAAATTCTGGAAAGCTAGAATTACAAACTAAAACCATAGGAAAAATAACAATAGACGAAACAGACAGTTACATGTACCTCGGTGTTCTCATTACAAATAGATGCGAAGAACAAGCTGAAATAGATCTCCGTCTAGAAAAGCGCAATCGATGCGCAGGAGCTTTACATAATTTGTGTGTACAAAACAATAATCAGACCTACAATGCTATACGGAAGTGAGACATGGACACTAAATAAGAAAGAACAGACCAAAATTGAAATAAGGGAACGGAAGATACTAAGAAGAATATATGGTGGCAAAAAGACAGAAGAAGGATGGGAAAGACGAAGAAACAAAGAAATTTATGAAATATTTAACGAACCCAACATATACGAAATAATACAGTCAAAAAGGTTACAATGGTTGGGGCACTTAGAAAGGATGGGTGACTCAAAGACAGTAAAAAGAGTAGCTTGGACAACACCAGAAGGAAAAAAAAAAGAGAGCAAGGCCTAGAAGGAAATGGAGGGAATCGATTATAGAAGATATTAAGGAAAAAAAGATCATCAACTGGAAAGAATAAGCCAAGAATAGGGTCGAATGGAAGAAACTAACCAGGCCATAGACCTTAACGATCTGTTTCGAGCCTTATATATAAAGTGGAAAATATTTTAAAATGTTTGTGTATAGGTATTGTATGTATGAAGAATTTAAGCTTTTCAGACTTTTTTTACAGAGTACCTATAGATTTGACATACTTGGGACTTGCTAAATGTCAAATTTAATGCCCAATTCCCTCATCTGACTGCAAAAAGTGGCACGTCATGTTTTTTATTGCTATTTGAAATTTGGAGAGGGGAGGAGGGTAAACAATAGGTACTATGTCCCGGTGGTTGGAGTAATCATGTGAACTATGAAATATAAAGTAAAGTTGCTTATCGAAGGATTTTTTCGCTTTTTGCTGGCAATCAAATATATATATATATATACTACTAGACGTCAATAATATTACACGTTTTTTCTAAATCTTAGATGATTTTGCAAGGATTTTTTGTGTCAGCAAAAGGGTTGATATGCATAAAATACATATGCAGTCTGTCAAAAATTACCTGTTTTTGAAATAGGTGTAAATTCAGCACCAAAAGACTTAAAGTGGTTTAATTGCTCTCAAAATATTTGTATGACGCTGAAATAAGATTATAATAGCGCTTAAAGGGTTTTTTATTCAGTAGTTCCAACCCATTCAGCTTTTTATTTTACAAGCAATTTTGAAAGCAATTAAAGCACTTTTCGACTTATGGTTCCGAATTTACACCTATTTCAAAGTTACATTTTTTCCATATCAACCCTTTCGTTGACGCAAAAAAAATGCTGACAGTATCATCTTAGATTCAGAAAAAACACGTTGAAGTTAAATCCCGAATTTTGTTAAAAAAATGTAAATATCAAGTGGTCGAAATCCCTACTCCATAAGTAGTAAAACCGACGACAAAAATGAGATTTTTTTATTGTTATTGATGTCTAGAAGCATATATTTCATTGCCAGTAAAAACCACCGGGGCATCGGGTCATAGTACATGTTAATCACCCCTTTCCCACCTAACTACAAATAGCAGCAAAAAAACACGATGTGTCATTTGAGGAACTATGAAGAAGTGCTAGTTTTTTTAATAATAGTAATCAAGGTCCTTGTTTACAATAATTTCAAATTTATTTATTTATTTACCAAATCTCAAACAGGCCTATTGGCCTTTTTACATAAGTAGTTTTCTTAACATAATAGCCAAATATATGTAATTTTATAACATGATGCTCAAGTTATAATAAGTACAATGTACATTTACGGAGGCAGATAAATACCAAAACCGAAAAATACAGAAAAAAGTGCTGAACTGATAGATATATCTATAAATAAAAACTTAAAATGTTTACATTAAAAACTAAAAATGTTTAGATAGTCATATAAAACCATTTTAAATTGGATATAACCAATTATCCAATCTATATTGCTCATTGAACTGAAATTATTAGCAAGTCTTATGATATGAGTTAGCGGAGATTGCAGAGGACTTTTAGAAACATTAAATTTTAATGAGGATCTGACACGTCTTGATGGAACATTAAATGGTACTAACAATAATAATAATAATAATTGCATACAGTTTATGTGATTGTTGATAATTTTATAAAGAAACAAAATCATAGATTGCTTATATCTATTAATTAGTGAAGGTACTACAAATTCTTCCCTAAGCATAGAGGTTCTTATTTCGATATAATCAGGCCAGATATGATATTTTTTATAATAAAGAAATCGCAAATTTTTTTTTTGTATTTTCTCTAATGAGTCTAAATGTATTTAAGGTTGTTGTGCCCATACTACTAAAGCAAATTCTAATTTTGTTCGTACTAAAGTAAAATACAGATATTTTATTACTTTTGCATTTGTAAATTGAGATGTTTGTCTTATAAGAAAACCTTATCCACGATTTGCACTAAGAGCAATTTTTTTAATATTTGGAATAAACGACATTTGATTGTCAAAACATATTCTAAGATTTTTAACTTCAAGACGTCTTTTCAATATTTGTTGTTCCATTGTATAATCAAAAACTATTAAAAGTTTTTTTCGTCTAATAAAAAGTATGCAACACTTTTTATTATTAAAAAGTAACTTATTAGATTTAGTCCATGTTACAATATTGTTGATCTTTTTGGAGCGCCACACAATCTCTGTCTGTTTCTACTTGTCTAAAAAGCTAAAAATCATCAGCAAAAAGTATACATTCACAGTTTCTAACATAAAATGCTAAATCATTTATAAAACGTGTAAACAATAGAGGTCCCAGGTGTGCTTCCACCAAACCTTACAATATAACATCGATTTTCTAAATAGTTTTTTAACAAAGTAACAAAACCCACAAAGAGCCCATAGTTTAACAATTTTTGTAATAATGTGTCATGATGGATTTGATCAAATGCTTTCCTAAAATCAGTGTACACAACGTCTAATTGTAATTTTTCCTCTATAGCTCTACTAGCACTTTCAGTAAATATAAGTAAATTATTACTAATTGATCTACCTCGAACGAAACCGTGCTGTTTATCCACTATGATGTTTTGTACATGATCTAGCAATTTGTTATAAATAATTTGTTCGAAAAGTTTTGAGACAGCAATTTATTGCAATTCCTCTATAGTTTTCAATTTCTGATGTTTTTCCTGCTTTATGAATAGGGTTATAATAAGATATTTTCCATTGTGAAGGGAATATAAAACAGTGACTCCATCCTTTTAAGATATATGGTGGAATATTATCAATTCCTGCTGCCTTTTTTGGCTTTAACTTTTTTATGGCTTTGTTGAAATTATTTTCATTTATTTCAAATAATATACACAAATCAAAATTGGCACAATTATTCTGTACGTTGTTTTTAAATTTGACTTGAGTTCTTTTCTAATTTGTATAAAAATCTGAAATATTTTTGATTTTTTTGTAATCCTCTTTTTTCTTAATAAGTTTTTTAATGTCAGCCGAGAACCAAACAGGATAAGGTCTACAATTATGAATTCTATATAAAGGAACAGTTAACTGGAAAATATTACTTATAATTTCATTAAACTTTTCAATAGCTTTATTCACTTCAATTTTCTGGGCGATAGTGTCCCAACAATATTCCTCCATCATCACATTAATTCAAAATTGGCCTTCTTAAAATTTAATTAATTATTTACAATTTTGTTCCCTCTAAATCTGTAAACTTTATTAAAATTTAAATTAATTTCTAGAGATGGGTGGTACTGATCTATTTTAACTAGTGAAACCTTTTCTTCTTGCACCATGCAATTGTCTATATTTTTTTATCTCCTCTGACCAAAACCAATGTTTAAACAAATAGTTTTTACATTATTAAAAAGCATAAACGAATTAAAACTCAAAAAATCCAATAAACAATTTACTTTTAAACTTACAATGCTTAAATCACTGTTTGTACCTTTAATTCCAGATAAATTAAAATCGCCAAATATATAAACGTTGGGGTCTATTCTGTAACAATTCCTTTATATTTAACGGCCTTTAAAAATATTTTCTTCTTTACTTTTGTCATTATTTAAACGGCTCTTTAAAATACATTAGAGGACTATCTTAAAGAAATCTGTTTAAATAATGACAGAAGTAAATTAACGAATACGAACATATTTTTAAAGGCCGCCAATATTTTTAAAGGCCGTTAAATATAAAGGAATTGTTACAGAATAGACCCCTTTATCGGTATTTTTTATATGATTTTGTAGTATATAAAACAAGATTTGTAATCATTTAGTGATGCGTCAGGTGGAATATATACAGCTATAAACAAACATTTCAAGTCATGTTTTATCCTTACTTCTAATAATAAAATATCGAATATAGAACTATGTTTTACTACACTAAGCACTTTATATTCATTTTTTATAGCCATTAAAACTCCCCCTCCCCTTGTTTTACCTGCAATTTGACAATTTCTATCTGATCGAGACAACATGTAACCACTATGTTAGGAATATAATTTTTACTGTGTTCTGTTTTTATAATTAAAATCCTGCAAATTTTACTTTTATTTTTATCATATAGAGAATGAACGAAATGACTCAGCTTTACCAAGTTTAGGAAAATTTAACTATTCTAGGAAAATTTCATCAGTTCTAGAGACATTGGGAAATTGGAGTAAATTGTAGTGAATTTTAAAAAGTTTTAAAATAATTATTGAAACTATCAATTTATTTAAACACTAATTTTTAATCAAACAATCATTGTATCCTATAAGCCCATCTGTACTCACAAAATTTTACTATAAAAAAATAGATGTATAGTGTCCATTAACATGTTTTATGTTGTTTTTGTAATAAGAATATGTTCTGCTACAAAATTCGATTTAATTTGTGTAATAATCATAGATTTTTTTTTCAGTTTAGTTTACCAACTAATTTAAAGATCCCTCTGAATTTAAATTCAGGTAAAAAATTTTAATCTAAGAAAATTTCAAAAGCTCGCAACGAATTCTTCTCCAAACTTGTTGAAATGCTTCCTAATTGAACCAATTAATGACCAAAATACATTTACTAGGGTACCTATTTGTTAGAAATACTATTTTATAAAAATTATTTATCAACATTCATAATCATATTTGTTTTACAATTAATTTTAATATATCGAATTATCGAATTTATTATAGCCCAAGAGCCCACTGCAAATGTTTGCCGTCATCTGATAACGAAATGAAATATACCCCAAAAGAATGGAAAAACATTGTACTTTACCAAATGGCACCTGTGCCAATCCCAAACCTGAGCAAAGTGGCTTAAAAAAATTATAATTATAAAAATCACATAAGGCATGACAGCGCTAATTTTTTTTCCCTTAATTTTTTCCAGAAAATAACATTCAAATATATCTTGATATATATCGTTAAAGAGAAACATTTTCTTCCTTTTAACATCGCACAAAAATATCTATTCACGATTAGTGAGTAAAAATTATTAAAAATATGATTCAATGTTTGCCGATTTAAAAATTTATTTGTATGCCTATTGTTGTGATTCATTTTTACAGGTTGCCATAGAAACGACAAAAAAACTACTATGATGATGGTTTAAAATAATTGTCTAACAAGAGTTTATAATTATTATTGACTATCTCTGCAAATGGTTTATACAATACCATCCTTCTTCCTTTCATACATAAACATGGTTTAAAAGGTAGGTAAAAATATTAATAATTCAGGTTTAAAAGCTAGGTTCACAGTGACTTAGGATTGTAATTTTTAGGGAAAAAACAATTGTCGCTGTCATGTCTTATGTGATTTTTTTAATATAAAATAATTTTTTAATTTTAATTACAATGTTGTTACATGCCCTTGAAGCATATTTCATTTCGTTATCAGGTGACGGTCGAAATTTGCAGTGGGCTCTCTACTATTAGGTATTAACTCAAATAAAATTATATTTATGCCCATGAATAATAATTAATTATAATTGAAGTTATTGTATATCACAATTTACAATAAAAAAATTTACAAGATCGTTCAAAATAAAGAGTATTTTTGGAATAAAGTTCTTTCAAAATCAATCAATACAACGTGGTATTAACAATAGGAAAAATAAAGTTTTTAATATAATTAAAAACAAAAAGAGACAGCATTTGTGGCACTCAGGATTTTTTTTATATATTAAAGCATCAAAAATAAAAAATAAATTTGAATTTGAAGAGCTGAAATTGATTAAAAAAAATAGTAGTTAAATAAGTTAATTATCTTAACATGTAATCAGAAAGCTGTAATCCATGGCCCAATCAAATGCACATGTGAAACATTGTGCAGTTTTATATATCTATTTATTTGGTATTCTTATATTGTAATTTAGAATAATCTACATATTTTTCCTATATTATACAAATAATTATATCTAGTCGAGTTTCAATAATATGAATGATTGCTGAGAAATCGACATCATTAACGTTTTTAGCTCAACTGTACGGGTAACTGAATTTATAGAAATATTCTGAGAACCTTGAGGGTTTAAAATATTGATATGCATTTCTCCAATTCATCAAAGCATTTATCAGTGCTTAAATTTAATTTTATTTTCCTAGTTTGGAGTTTATATCGAAAATCGTAAAAAGGAATTTTATTTGAAATTAAATCCGGCTGCTCTACTTGAAAACTTTTAACTATTTTTATTACGTAACTCAAAAAGAACTATTTTTTATTTTATTTGGTAAACAAGTCTTGTAACTTTAACAGTGTTTAAAAATTTGAATTGATCCACAAAAAATGTTTTTAAAGTAAATGGAAATAACCAGGAATGTCGGAGAGTACAATTCGTATTGTTTAAATGGCGGTTTTGATTTAATTCAGAGGCCAGCGCACTTATCGCGGCCATTACTCGTATATTTGTATTTGTCAGTTATGGCTTACTTTAGAAATATTTTTAGGTAAATCGCTGTACAAACTCTGTTACTTGAAAAACGTTCAATTTTTATTTTGAGCCCTTTCACGTGACAGCCACCCCCTCAATTTTTTTTAAAATGGCCTAATTGTTTGTGTGGGACTTCATTTGAGCGGGTTTGAAAATCGGTATTTAAAAATGTATACACAACAAAATTTACAGAGTTTTTTGAAAACTGGATTTTAATAATGTTTCTGATATTTGTTTTTAATGTTTGTTCTTTTTCCTTGTTTAGCAAGTGACAGTTTCATCAATTTTTACATTTATGTGTGAATATGATTAATTTCACATAAAATAATTTTCTTTTTTTTAATAAATTCCTTTTTTTTAAATAATTACTTCACTTTTTAAATAAAATTTGTGTAAAATGTATGTATGCCTCATATATCTCATTAAAATTTTAAACTGATGCTGTTAAAACACATACATTCATCGGATTTCAAGAAAATTGCAAGAAATTACTGAAGGTACATAGTAACCGATTCAATTACATACATTTTTTACCTAAAAATATTCACTGATAATCACTGTGTATAAAATTTAAAAAATTGACTTACCAAAAATGCCTTCATTTTGTATATGTAGTTCCAATCAGGCACTAATTTACAAATGATACCGAAAACTCAAGTTACCACCTTTTTATATGACAATATTTTGACCAACTTAACCTGTTTTAGAATTCCAATATGGGTCCAGATTAATATTCCTAAACTAAGTAATAAATTTTATTCAATTTTTTGATACCGGATAGAGTTTCAAGATCATGATGATGATGATGATCGGTAGGACCGTTAATTTTTTTATGTTTTTAATGAGATAACAAAACAAGTTTAAGATTTATGGTGAAATTTCCGATATGGTACAATGAGACGTGAGAGTGTTTTTAAACTCACTTTTGTTTGAAACAAGATTGAATTCGAAAAATGTATTTTTAAAGCACCTATCCTGAAGATAAAGTCGTTTTAAATGAAACATTTTTTTTTGTAAAACCAAATATAATTAATCCCAATCAACTAAAACATCATTCTGAAAAATTAATATTTAATAAAAGGTTGAAAATGACCGCAAGAAAGTATCCACGTTAGACTAGATTTCACAGAATAAAAGAATAGATTGGAATATAATTACATAATCAAATAAAATAGTAAAATATTTTAAATGTACTGTAAACAAAAGACTTTTATGAAAAACAAATTTCATTCATACCAGTAGAAAAATCTAAAAAGAGGCCATGAAAAAAAATTAACCATTATAAAAATTACATTATTAAGAAACAAGAAATAAAATCAAATGTCACATAGAATGAAGCGAGAATATATAAAAATTAGCAAATCTTAAGACTAAATGCTAAGCTCTTACTAGGCGACGTCTCACCCTGTTCAGCTTTTCGCCCTAGAACCGGAAAGAACGCCAAGTAACACTTGGTAGGGAACCTATTAAAATAAACCAAAGGCACAGGACTATTCCAAAGATAATACGAGGAAACCAAGGGAATACAATATACCCAAGAGGCTGGTGTTCTGTTCCAAACCTAACCCTACCTGCTTATAACCCACAAAAATAGAGATAAATATAAAAAAGGACTAAATTACAAAGATAGAAGTAAAACAGAATAATTGTTATAGATGCAGGCAAGTTGTAAAAGTCATTTTAAAAAACCGCTTTAAAATCGTGAAAATGCCATTACAATTATTTGTGTTTGCTGATTTTCTCATAAAATGCCATCACCAGCTCTTGACCACATCTAAGGTTAGGATTGCCACTTGCCCTTTTTTGAAAAGGACAGTTCTTTGTTCAAGCAAAATGTCCTTGCGACTTACGACTTGCGACTTGGGACTTGCGACTTGTGACTTGCGACTTGCGACTTGCGACTTGCGACTTGCGACTTGCGAGTTGCGATTTGCGACTTGCGACTTGCGACTTGCGACTTACGACTTGCGACTTGCGACTTGCGACTTGCGACTTGCGACTTGCGACTCACGACTTGCAACTTGCGACTTTTTAAAGCTTAAAATGTCCTTTTTTACTCTTTGATATCTCTTTAAAAGGTACCTGGGTGATATGAAAATATATAATATGCGAACCTTTTTTTTAGAAGGTCAGTAGAAGAATGAGGACCTTCTGAATACCGGATCCCCTATCAGCATCATTGTCCTTTGTTTACTTTTCAAAAAGTGGCAACCCTACCTGAGGTACACCCTTTTTAACAAAAACAGAATCATAAAAAATGGGATTTTCGCTGAACATACATAAAAAATTAAGAGTTTGATGATTTTATCATGGACCCAATTATTAAATTTTGACCAAATTTAGAAGGAACTACCCCTCAGGTACGCCCTTTTTAACAAATCGAAAAATGTGGCAAAGAATTATCGCTGAACATACATAAAACAAAATATTCTAATTAAAAACCTCTTTCTTTTTTGATGTTAGTTGAAAAAAAAATAAGTAAAAGGAAAAAGGATATAAACGAAAAAATTAACAAATAACCGAGACATCGTAATAGTAAATGTTTAAATTTATTCATGTCATTGTATATATCATCATGTATGACAAAAATACACAAATACAGGCGACTTTTTCTCATTATTAATTTTTACAATTTGGAATATGAAAATATTATGTCCAATTGTCAACCTTTTAATTTTATTTATTAATGCTCAAAATGTTTGGAGATACTAATTAGTTAATAATAACCATTCGATGAAAATATATCAATAATTAATTAGGCAGATAAAATCAATTTTTATTCAAAAATATTTGTTTTTAGTTAAAAATAGTTTCGAAAAATATACGGGTATACAAAATTAAACTTGAATTAAAAATGGTTTATTTTAATTTTTGATTTTGGGTAGTTTTCTAAGAGCACATCATACCTATAATGTTCTTTGTTATTATGACATCATTATGATTGCTTTGTATATACTTCATACAGTGAGCATCATAAGTCTTACCCCCCCCTAACTAACTCGTTACTGGGGTCTTGTTAGGAAAATTGCCGAGACAGGTCGATTTTTGATTTCTACAATGTACATTTTTGCATGACTGGTTTACCCTTAATTTTATCCCTTACTGGAGGGTAGCAACCCTTTCGAAAAATGTAAATAGCATGGGGTGATGAGTGATAGCTCATTTAAAAGGGGGTTTTATTCTCTATTCAACCGTGCAAAAAAATTTGAAATTTGCTTCATTACGTGTTGATGTATTAATGTTTAAAAATAACAAAACCTCACAAAATAGGAAAGCAACTAGACTAACAGTGACCTTCTAATGGCAAAAAGTCTTACTTTACGTCTAAACCAAAACCGAAATCATGCAGGGCCTAATTTTAATTCTAAGGATGAGTGCGCTACGTTAATTTCCGTTATTCTGAAACAACAATTAGTCGAGAATGAATGAAGCAAATTTCAAATTTTTTTACACGGTTGAATAGAGAATAAAACTCTCTTTCAAATGAGCTATCACTCACCACCCCATGCCATTTAAATTTTTCGAAAGGGTTGCTCCCCTCCAGTAAGGGATGAAATTAAGGGTAAACTATTCATACAAAAATGTATATTGTAGAAATCAAAAATCGACGTGTCTCGGCGATTTTCCTAACAAGACTCCAGTAACGAGTTAGATAGGGGGGGTAAGACTTATGGTGCTCACTGTATATTGATAAATGTTTCCAATGTAAGTAAAATGAATTCAAATACCAGAAAGGGCCAAAAGCCGAGAAAATAGGGAAAAACCAAACGACTCAATCTGGAATACAGACGGTTCGAAAATTAAAAACAGCACAGGAGCTGGGATCTACCTTGTGAATTCATGGAGGTTCGTTAGTCTGAACCTGGGGTCACTGACAACAGTCTTCCAGGCTGAAGTAATAGTAATAGATGTCTGCGCCAAAGTTATGCTAAATGACTCTTTTAGAGATAAGAGGGTCTTTTTCATGACAGACAGTCAGACAGCCCTTAGCACTGAAAAAGTACAATCTAAATTGATACTTTGCCAATAGTCCCTCCATGCCCTGGCAGAACATAACAAGGTTACCCTTGAATGGGTGCCGGGACATGAGGGAGTATTTGGAAACGAGAAAGCAGACCTCGTAGCAAGGAAGGGAGCGGAAAAACTCTAACTGGATCAGAACCCACATGTGGTATTTCATACCAACATGTTAAATGGGTGTTAAAGGAACAAATAAATAGAGAACACCATAGGCTCTGGTTGGAACTTCCTGGACTTAGTCCAGAAGATTCATAGAGGGGCCATCTAAGAGCAGACAAAATCAACGGCTTATCCTTAGCAGAAACGAACTCAAGGCCGTAATAGAACTCCTTACGGGACACTGTGGCCTTAGAAGACACCTAAATCTCTTAGGAATAGCTGATTACCTGCTATGTAGAATATGTGAAGAGGAGGACGAAACTCCTATTCACATACTATGCTACTGTAGGAACCTTAAATGGGATCGGTAATGGTACTTCGGGGTACAATATCCGGAACCTGAAGAAATTGCAACAGCAGCCATGAGACATATTCTTGAATTCATCAAGAAAATCAATCTGATGGGGTAGAAACTGTGAGGGGTACAATAAGCCTAGAGCTTCAGTACGAGTGGGCTTTGAATCACGCCCTAATTCAGATAGATATATGGAAAACGAATTCAAAACCAACTAAATCCCTACTTTTTTACTTAGGTTAAATAAAAAACATTTATTATAATTAGAAAATAGTTTTATTAAGCAAAATCGAAAATTTCACGTACATATTTTGTTGAATATCAACACAATATCATACAAATCGTCATCCAATATCAAATCTCAGTTCTTCTTGGCCTTAGCATCAGCTTTACGGGCAAAAATGTTGTGACTACCGTAGGTACCAAAGTTACCGTATGTACCAGCGTTGCCATAGTTGCCAGAGTTACCATAAGTAACTGTTGTGAAGACCTTACCGCCTTGATTGTTTCCTTGGTTGTTATGAGTGAAAGTATAATCGGATATATCATTGTTACCGGTAACAGAAGAACCCAGATACTCAGAAGATTGTACAGTTGCGTAGTATGTTGGCACGTTAATTTCTTGTTGATAGACCTGTTGTTGGACTACTGGTTTCTTGTGGTGAACATTGATGATTTCGGGTACTCTATATACAACGGGTTCTGGTACTGTTACGGCAACTTTTCTTTGAACGGCAACTGGATAGGGTTGAGCTACAGGTACTTTGACAACCTCTGGTACTTTTACGTATACGGGTTTCTCTACGTGCACTGGAACTGTTTTTGTAATTGTAACTGGGTATGGTTTTTCTACAGCGTATGGTACTTTTACTCTGACTTGGTATGGGACTAGGTGGGGTACCTATTGAAAAATAAATAATTATTGGTTTGATTATAAATGATTAAAATAGATTATTTTTTTATTGGGCACATTGATTTTATTTGGAAAACATAGTTTCTCCAATCTTTTTCATTGTTAAATATCTAATCTTTAAATAATCAAAGAGGATTTTAAAATAATCAAACTTCAAGACGTATTTACTAATATTCTTGCTTTTCAAAAAAAGGAAGGTATAGACATATTTCTTT